GGTTGCAGTGAGCCGAGATCGCGCTATTGCACTCCAGCCTGGGTGACAGAGCGAGATTCCGTCTCAAAGAAAAAAAAAAGTGGTTTCCAAAAAATGTAAAATTAGGTGCGCGGCTGGCATTATTTTTCCACTGGGTAGAGCTGATCGCCCGTGGGGGCAGAGACTCTGCGACCTGGAGTCTCCCAGGCCGGGGGCGATGGGATGCGGCGGAGAGAAGTTTCCGGATGTATTGTGCGGTCATGAATCATGTCAGGCAATTGCCACTGCCCCCGTTGAATGGAGAGACGCTGCCTCAGGAGTTGAGTAGCAGAGCCCGGACTCGAACACTGGTCTGCCCCCGAACTGAAACTCCCATTTTCAGTACCGCCTGCTTGAAACCTTCCAAGAGCCCTTGAGGGGGCGAGAGCGGGATCCAAACCCCTCGGGGGCGAGAGCGGGATTCGAACCCCTCGTGGGCGAAAGCGGGATCCGAACTGGGCTGGACTCCCGAGGTCCCAGCGCGCCGCGTGACCGCCACTCCGAACGTTCGCAACGTTCACAACGGACTCCAGGGCCGCTGGACCTCAAGGGTCAGGAGCCACTTAGAAAAGCTCCAGACTACGCTCACCTGTTGACAGACGCTGAGGGCGCAACCCTCCTCCTCTTTTTTCACACTCGCCAGCACCGCGGCGGCGCTCGACTTCCGCTTCTCTCCAGCGAATCCCCAGCTGAGCCTCCTTCTGCTCCCGGCACCATTACCAATCCAGCCAATCAACTCTCAGAAAACCCTCTTTATCTCCGCCCCACTCCCTCCTGCCAATCACTGAGGGTGCGAGCACCGCCCTTCCCGCCTTCTTTAGCGAGCGCCGCGCGCCACCGCTCGGCGGTTGGCGGCGCTGCGCGGTGCGGGATGCATCTCCCGGAAAAGCGAGGCGAGGGGCGGGCCACGCCGGTGCGGGAACCCTCAGGATTGGGCAGAAGGAGTCCGGCGCTCTGACTCCGTCCACTCCCGCCGTTGACATCCGAGTCGGAGACGCTGGGGATTGGTTCCCAGCGGACACGCTAAGAAGCCTGGAGATAGTTTCGCCTTCCTCACACGCCGCGGGGAGGGAGCTCCGCTGATTGGTCCTGGGAGTCTGGGCGCGCGCCGACCGGCGCTCCAGGATTGGCTGAGGGGGTGCGCGCGCCGCCAGGGAGCGTTGGCGGTGATTGGCCAGAGGGCGGAGGCCGGCTATTTGAAGGCGGTCCGCGGTTTAGGTGCGCACTTCAGTCCGCGGAGAGAAGAGGCGGGAGTGGACCTGGTCTGCTGTACCCCACTGACGCCCCCCCCCTCACCGGACCCAGGCGCGGCCTCCGCCACAGCCACAGCCACAGCCCCTGCCCCTGCCCCTGCTGCGGCGCGGCGAGGCGAGGCGAGGCGAGGCGAGGCGAGGCGATGGCCAAGGTGTCGGTGCTGAACGTGGCGGTCCTGGAGAACCCGAGCCCTTTCCACAGCCCCTTCCGGTTCGAGATCAGCTTCGAGTGCAGTGAAGCCCTGGCGGACGGTGAGGCTGGGCCCGTGCGGGGACCCCCATCCCCGGGCCGACCCCGGCCTCCCCTTGGAGAAGCGCTCCCATGGCCAACTTGATCTCCCCCATGAAACCCCTGGTCCCCCTTCCGCCAATCCCGATCTCCGGGTGGAGACCCCCCGCCATCAGCCAACTCGGACCTCCCCGTGACCTCCTCTTCCACTGCCCGCCTTGAGCTCCCGGGTGGAGACCCCCAGCTAGCTAACTCGGACCTCCCCGTGACCTCTTCCCCCACTGCCCGCCCCGACCTCCCCATAAAGATTAACCCCAGTCAAGCCCCACTTCCCGCGTGGGAAACCTCATCCATCTTTTTAATCTGGAGGTCTTCCTAGGTACCCGTTTTCATGGAGAGATCTTCTTGGCCTCCATTTCTTAACCCACGGAGATCTTCAGCCACCGTGATTTCCCTATGGCAAGACCCGCGCTTTAGCCACCCACCCATTTTTGCCCACTTATTCCCTCTTTAGTGAGATACTCACACCTCCCATTTTCCCTCTGGAGACCCCGAATGTCCAGCTCCTTCCCATTTTCCCCGGGGGAAATCCCAGCCATCTGCTGTTTTCCCTATGGAGACCTCTCACCCAAGCTCCCTTCCCTCCTCACCGTGAAGACCCTCCCCACCAGTAACCGTTTTTCTCTGTGAAAACCCCTCAACCCCTTTTCAGGACCGCCCTCGCCCCCATCTTCCCATTTCTCTCCCACCAATCCCCTCCCCAACCTGCCAATATTTCAACAACCCCACCCGCACCAGTTGCTGTTGCTCTTCTGCCATTGCACATACCCTGGAACCTGGTTCCTCCTTCGTTGGGGCCCAACCCCTGCTATGCTTGAGCTCCCCCTGGGAAAGGATGCTACCGTCTTTGAGGGGAACTTGGTCTCCCCAGCTCCCCTTCCCCACCCTCTTCTGTGGACTTGGATAAACACACTGAGATCTGAGGGCTGGCATAGCCAGGCAGGTATTAGCTGCTTCTTCAGGTTTGCCCACCCGTTTCCAACTGAGTTACTGCAGCAGTTCTTCCCTCGCTTTTTCTTTCTTCTTCTTTTTTTTTTTTTTTTTTTTTTTGAGACAGACTTCTTGCGCTGTTGCCCAGGCTGAAGATGCAGTGGCCAACGTTCGTGCCCACTGCAACCTCCGCCCTCCGGGTTCAAGCAATTCTCCTGCCTCAGCTCCCGAGTAGCTGGGACTTACCGGCACCTGTCCACCATGCCCGGTTAATTTTAGTATTTTTAGTTGAGGCAGGTTTCACCACATTAGCCAGGCTGGTCTCAAAGTCCTGATCCTCAAGGATCCACGCCGCCTTTGGCTCCCAAAGGCTCGGATTACAGGCGTGACGCACTGCGTCCGGTCATTTTCTCTTTTTTTTTTTCTTTTTTTTTTAATATAGCTGGATAATCAGTGCCAAGCTTCCATTGCTTTTGATGGTCTGACCTAGTCTGGAGGGTGGGTGGGTTGGGCCGAGCTGTGACAGGCTCCAGCTTCAAACAGTCAGCTGGAGCCCAGAGGTCACAGCCTCCTGTACATCTTTTCCAAGGTGCTTCTGCAGATGTACTTGTTAATCTGTGTGACTTAAAGGTGGACATGGCTCTCATCTCACAGATGAGACGACAGGAGCCACAAAGCGCAAAAGACCTTTCAAGTCAAGGCCTGTACAAATCCAAAATCTAAGGTCACCCAGGGAGCCTTGGCACCACTAAAATGCAAGTCCTGCTTTCAGGAAGAAGTACTCCATTAGGCCATTTTTCTACTTGGTGGTTAAAAGAGAAAAGGCAGCAACCGAGGAGATAGCGATCTGGGGGCCTGTGAAGCCAGGATGTGCTAACTAGTGCCTTTCGGGGGCAGGTGGGTGTTTGGCCCTCAAAGCTGGTCACCTGGACTAGCTTGGGGCTGATAGAGTGATATGTGGATGTGCTTCGGGTAGGCCAGTGGGTCTCTCTCTCCCCAGTCTGTGTTGCTCCTTTTTAAATTAAGCAGTCTACTTGTGGCTAACTATAGAATAAGCCGAGTTAAATCCTTTCTGGAACAGGGCAGCGTGTAAATAAATAAATAAAGTGTAGAATGACACTGTGGAATAAGATTTAATTTAAAAGCCAGGAGGAAATGGAAGGAAGTAATAGGTTGAGGGATTCCCAGCTCCCAGGCGGCAGGAGATCAGGTTTCAATCAGCCTGTTTGTGTTCCTTGCATTTAAAAATGGTTGTGTGGTCATTATCTGGTACTTCTCCTAGGAAACCCCTGCCCTGTGACTTTACTTACTTATAGAATTAGAGGCAGAAAGGCTAAATTCAACCTGCTGGTCCTTTTTTTGTTTTTTTGGAGACGAAGTCTTACTCTCATCCCCCAGGCTGGAGTGCAGTGGCGCAACCTCCGCCTCCCGGGTTCAAGCAATTCTCCTGCCTCAGCCTCCCGAGTAGCTGGGATTACAGGTGCCTGCTATGACGCCCAGCTAATTTTTGTGTTTTTAGTAGAGATGCGGTTTCACCATGTTAGCCAGGCTGGTCTCGAACTCCTGACCTCAGGTGATCTGCCCGCCTCAGCCCCCCAAAATGCTGAGATTACAGGTATGAGCCACTGTGCCCAGCCTCTGCTGGTCATCTCTTAATAGAAATAGAGTGATTTATCCAGGGTCACCCAGCCAGTTTGTAGAAATATTGGCACTGAAGTTTTGAATCTAAGTTCTTTATCTTTGCTCCGATCCAGGGAAAGAAAGGAAGAAGGATTCCCTATTTCAGAGGTGGAGCATAGATAGGAATGACCATACAATTTATTGCCTAATCAGGATGCTCAAAACACAGTGAAGGGGAATGCTATTATTATTATTATTATTTTGTTTTATTTATTTTTTGAAATGGAGTTTCACTCTGTCACCCAGGCTAGAGTACAGTGGCGCGATCTCAGCTCACTGCAATCTCCACCTCTTGAGTTCAAGCGATTCTGTGGTCTCAGTCTCCCAAGTAGCTGGGATTACAAGCTTGAGCCACCATGCCCGGCTAATTTTTGTATTTTTAGTAGAGATGAGGTTTCACCATGTTGGCCAGGTTGATCTCAAACCTGACCGAAAGTGATCTGCCCGCCTCAGCCTCCCAAAGTGCTGGGATTACACTTTGAATCACAAGCACGCGGCCAGGGAATGCTATTGTTAATTGCACCCGGATGATAAAGCTTTTTCTTCAAGAAACTCAAGTGAGAGGCCGGGCGCGGTGGCTCAAGCCTGTAATCCCAGCACTTTGGGAGGCCGAGACGGGCGGATCACGAGGTCAGGAGATCGAGACCATCCTGGCTAACACGGTGAAACCCCGTCTCTACTAAAAAAAAAAAAAAACTAGCCGGGCGAGGTGGCGGGCGCCTGTAGTCCCAGCTACTCGGGAGGCTGAGGCAGGAGAATGGCGTAAACCCGGGAGGCGGAGCTTGCAGTGAGCCGAGATCGGCCACTGTACTCCAGCCGGGGGGACAGGGCAAGCCCCCGTCTAAAAAAAAAAAAAAAACAACAGGCCAGGCACAGTGGCTCACGCCTGTAATCCCAGCATTTTGGGAGATCAAGGCAGGTGGATCACCTGACGTCAGAAGTTCAAGACCAGCCCAGCCAACATGGTGAAACCCCATCTCTACTAAAAATACAAAAGTTAGCCAGGCTTGGTGGCGGCTAACTCAGCTACTTGGGAGGCTGAGGCAGAAGAATTGCTTGAACCTGGGAGGCAGAGGTTACAGTGAGCTGAGGTTGTGCCACTGCACTCCAGCCTGGGTGACAGAGCGAGACTCTGTCTCAAAAAACAACAGGCCAGGCACAGTGGCTCACGCCTGTAATCCCAGCATTTTGGGAGATCAAGGCAGGCGGATCATCTGAGGTCAGGAGTTTGAGCCCAGCCTGGCCAATGTGGTGAAAACCTGCCTCTACTAAAAATACAAAAGTTACCTGGGAAGGGTGGTAGGCGCCTGTAATCCCAGCTACTTAGGAGGCTGAGGCAGGAGAACCGCTTGAACCCGGGAGGTGGAAATTGCAGTGAGCCCAGATTGCGCCATTGCACTCCAGCCTGGGTGACAGAGTAAGACTGTCTCAAACAACAACAAAAACAAAAAAGCAGGAAGCAGACTCTTTAGCTAGTTCAGCTACAGTAATCATGTACATGTCTTTAG